CAAGTGAGTGTGCTCCATGTCACCACCCAAGAACTTGGACTCCTGGATCAACTGTCTCCTCTTCTCTGCAGCAGATTTATCCCTGTGCAACAAAAACAGAGTCAGTTACAAGACAGACCCTCTAGAGCAGACTGGGAAGACAAGGCCACGCCGCAGGCTCACGTACGCCTCTGCCGTCGGCCCCACAGCTCTGTAGTTGGCAGTTGTGCTGATCAGCTCCGTTTCCTCATAGTCCTTGTTCACACCATCTCTCCTCTCCTTGGCTCGATCCCTGTACTTCTCAGCCAGCTCCCTCTCACGCTCTATCTCCTGCTGGCGCAGCTTTGCATAATAGCTGGGGTTGGAAAAACAGCTCAGTGTTAGAGCGACACGTTCACACTTTTGATGTACCAGTCAGGTAACAGCCCCCAAGGGCCCCCACGTGCCTGTTCTGCTCCCAACCCCTTCCCCAAAAAGTGTCCTGTAGCACCATGGGACACAATATGCCTGGAGAACACCAGACTGCTGTACCAAGGCTCTCCAAAGAGCAGCTCATTCTTCCCTTCCAAAGGGAAAAGGTCAAGTGCAGTCCTGCTGCCCACATGTGCCCCAAAAGACAGTCACTAGCGCAGATGTCCCACCGCTGCCCTGCTCTGCCGGACACCAGCAGAGCTTCTCCTGCATCTTCTGGAGGTGAAGCTTCATCCCCATCCTGCTGCCGCCTTCCCACATCTGTTCCCACAAGCAGCAACAGTCTGAGCTCTTCTCACTCTGCTTGGCTCCAAAGCCCCGAAATAATCCAGGCCACTTGGAGTCCTCTTTGGTAGTCCAAGAGCTCAGAAGTTGCTTCCAGGGGAGGGACATGATGTATGAAAACAAGCCCTGATGCATCCCTTTCCCCACTTACCTTTTCTTCTTCCTCCTGCGAGCAGCTGGGTCTTCATCTTCATTGTACTCCCGGGGCATCCTGGAAATGGACAAGAAACCACACATACAGTCTGCAGAGTCATACAGACACAGGCAGCGAGACAGAACAGTCCCTCGGACACAGCAGGGCACCGAGATCCTCAAAGATGGGAACAGTACAGTCCCATTTCTCCCTAACTCCACTCTGTCAGCAAGGAGAGGAGGGGAGAGCAGCTCTGTGAAGAGGGACCTGGGTGTCCTGGTGGACAACAGGTTGACCATGAGCCAGCAGTGCTGCCAAGAAGGCCAATGGGATCCTGGGGTGCATCAAGAAGAGTGTGGCCAGTAGGTCGAGGGAGGTTCTCCTTCCCCTCTACACTGCCCTAGTGAGGCCTCATCTGGAGTACTGTGTCCAGTTCTGGGCTCCCCAGTTCAAGAAAGATGAGGAGCTCCTGGAGAGAGTCCAGAGGAGGGCTAAAAGGATGATGAGGGGACTGGAACATCTCTCCTACGAGGAGAGGCTGAGGGAGCTGGGCTTGTTCAGCCTGAAGAAGAGAAGGCTGCGAGGGGACCTAATATATGCTTATGAATATCTCAAGGGTGGGTGTCAGGAGGATGGGGCCAAGCTCTTTTCAGTGGTGCCCAGCGACAGGACAAGGGGCAATGGCCACAACCTGAAGCACAGGAAGTTCTGTCTCAAGCCCTGCCGGGACAATGTCCTGTCCAGCCTGCTCTGGGTGACCCTGCTTCGGCAGGAGGGTTGGACTAGATGACCTACAGAGGTCCCTTCCAACCCCTACCATTCTGTGATTCTGTGATTTTTACAGAATGAAAACTAAATCTTCCTCCTGCACAAAGCATCTTAACAGCCATGCAAGACTCACTCTATTATTTACAGCAGTCCTGACCCACCTCCTTCTCCAATTAACACACACATACAGCTTGCATGGACCCGAGCACAAAGCAAGGCCAAGGTCTGCTCCTCGGGCCTTGTCTGTGCACTCTTTGGCCCCTTTAGGCACTCCACTGCAGTGTGCAAGGAAGGAGTGTCAGGCAGGAACGGAGCCCCAGAGGGAAGGCAGCCATGCTTTGTCCCACAGTCCTGTGAAATGGAGTCCTACTTACTCATGGTGGCGAGATTTGGATGGTGGCGCAGATGTTGGCGCAGCCCTCGGGGTCATGAGAAGCTTTCTGAAGTCTTCATTGGTCAGCTTGGACCTGCAAGGAAGAGGGGAAACAGAAACCGCCATCCCTCAATGAGCTTTGGCAGCCTGACGGCTTCTGAGGAGGCAGAGGGTCTGCCAGCAAGTCCTGTGTGATGGAATCAGACACGGGGTCCCCGCGGACGAAGCCCGAAGGCTGCATCGCACCAGTCGCACCCACCCTCTAGACGGGGTAATCGGCCTCGAGTCCCATAGTCCTGGCCCAGTCCCGCCCCAGCACCATACTCACTGGTGGAAGGAGTGTGAGTCGTCCACATCGTGGCCATCAGGGGCCAGAGGGTTGGAGAACGGCTCATCTGGGGGCAGGAGGAAAGACAGCGCTCAGAGACTACCTGCATGGCTTCAGCCCCCCTCCAGCCACCACCACCACGGTCCTCGCAGCCCGCTCCTGCTCGGGACTGGGGAAAGGAGCAGCGCCCACCCACCCCCCCGCTCCTCTGCCAAGCCCAGGCCGCCGACACCCTGGGGTAGGCTC